TTACTGCCTAGGCTTGCTGTTTTGGGCGCTTGTTTTTTAGCAAACTTCTCGTACTTCCTTATCTGTTGCTCCTTTGTGCGGTCCAGTTCGTTCCTCATGTTGGAATGTGAGATTGCATCCATTCTGTCCCAATTCTGTTGTTCGATCTTGTTGCCCAGTGTCAAGTGCAGGCCAAGAAGTTCCTTCGCAAGGCTACGACGAGTGTGGTGAATTCGTTTCCGGAGAAAAGCTTTCTCAGTCCTGACGTAGATCCTGTTTGTCTTCGTTGATGGGAGAATTCGTTTCGTCTAAGGAATGCTGGTATGATGTTGGTGTCCCGGCAGCGGTACAGAAACGCTAAAGTGGCGAGTAAATGCGCCTTTTGCTTCCTTATTTTGTCTAGTCGTTGATACTGTTTACATATTTCCTCCCCGTAGAGGCGTCTGATAAATTGGTTAAGGCTTTCGCGGTCCGTTGATAAGGACGGAGACTGTTCCACCAAGGCTCTATGGACTACCTAAGGCACACAAAGTATGTCCCGTTCAGACCAATAGTTAGCGCACCCGGATCACCAACGTATTACTTGGCTAAACACTTGGCATCGCTGCTCCAACCACACGTAGGACATGTCACCAGTTACATCAAGGACTCCACCGACATCGTGCGCAAGATTCAAGATATCAATATTGAACAAAACGACATCCTTGTGAGCTTCGACGTCGTCTCACTGTTTACCAAAGTACCTCTGAAGAGTTGCTTGGACCTGGTGAACAGGATATTTCCTGTCGATATTTGCAAACTTTTTGAAGTCTGTCTGACCGGTAGCTATTTCGTGTGGAAGGGAAACTTCTACGAACAGGTGGACGGAGTGGCAATGGAAAGTCCATTAAACCTGGTTATAGCCAACTTATTTATGGAACACTTTGAGGAAAAAGCGATCGAGACCTCAGAGTACAAGCCAGCAACGTGGTTCCGGTACGTGGATGACACCTACGTGATTTGGAAACATGGTATGGACAAGCTCAACAACTTTTTGCAACTTCTCAACAGTCAGCATTCCAGCATCCAGTTTACTATGGAGACTTAAAATGACCAACAACTTGCATTCTTAGACGTACTAGTGAGGAAGCGAGGTAACAAGCTGGGCCAGACAGTGTACAGAACCCACCCATACGGACAGATACCTGCATGCTCTATCCAACCATCACCCAAGTCAAAAGTATGGGGTTATCAGAACCCTGACAGAACGAGCCCGAAGGATTTGCGAACCGGAGAACCTCTAGACAGATAAGTCTGCAGTAGCTAAACACGCACTGGGCAGCGGGGAACACAGGATACACTTTGAGAGCTGTAAGTTACTAGCATCGGTCAACGGCTATCACAACAGACTAGTCAGGGAAGCCATTGAGATACAAAAACACCCACACAATTTCAACAGAAAGGAAGAGACCGTTAGACTCAACCAAATCTGGAACCCGATCCTTAGGAACCCCTGAGCAGTACCGATCGATATCCCGAGACCAACCGAAGCGGAACAAGCCCCGCCCACCACCAATCGTCATAAATACAACCTGTGCAGGAGAAATCGTCAGTCTACATCCAACATGGGAGATGGAAGGACTTCTGAAGAAGCTCGCCACTCGTGCTAGCGAAACATTAGGAAGTAATTCCAACCGACGACGGCCTTTAAACCCGAATCAAGATAATAGCGTAGTATTGATTTCCGCCTCATTGGTATTGGAAGGTTGTGGTGAAGTGTATTTTTTGATGGATTGCTTAATATCTTTAATGTGGAAATTATTAGAGAGAAGAATAGAGGTAAGGTGTTTTAATTCTGGGTTCAGTGAGTTGGGCTGTAAACAAGAGAGTTGATAACCCATGATTTATGGGCTGGATGGTGATGTGACCATTCATTAAGGTATCGGTCTATGTGCCTAGGATTTCTGTAAACACAATGACCCAATGTTAGGTCTGATTTTCTATTGAGAAGAATATCTAAGAATGGAAGGTTATTATTAGTTTCCAACGCCATGGTAAAACGTATGTTAGAGTATATAGAGTTTAAATATCTAAGAAAATCTACTAGGGTTTCTTGGCGATGAGACCAAATAACAAAGTATCCTCGACGTAGCGTTTCCATAATTTTGGTTTTAGATGAAAGGTATCGAGAGCTTTCTTCTCAAAGGCTTCCATAAATATATTCGCGATAACTGGTGATAGTGGAGAACCCATAGCTGTTCCCGACGTTTGTTCAAAAATTGGACCGTTATAAGAAAAATATGTTCCAGACAAACATTTTTCAATTAAGGTGAGAAGGTTTGGTTCCAGATTCCCGGACTATAATATATCTGAAATGATGTTGAGTATTGCAGGAATAGGCACGAAACTAACTAGAATATCTTGTGTATCTAATGCAATGCTTTTTAATTGTTCAATTAAGTGAAAGGAATTAAGGAAGAAACTGTCAGTTTTCCCTGTAAGGAAGCTAGATATTTTGCTAGAGAATATGTTGGAGAACCAATGATATCCTGGGACTACAGACGAGGAATTTTAGAGTTTAGTTTTGTTATAATTTTAGAGTGGTAACAGATTTTTTTCAACATTCCATGCATATGCGGCAAAGGAGAGACCGGATGAAAAATATCAACTGAGCTCAAAGAACACGAAACAGCCTTACGACTAAGACAAATAACCTCATCAGCTGTGGCCGAACACAATCACGAAACCGGACATAAAATTTTATTCGATAAAACTCTTGCAAGTAATCAATTCTTCTACCAGCGAAAAATCTGAGAGTCTATAGAAATCTACAAACAACCTAACAATCATAACTGCGATTCAGGTCTGTCACCAATATTTGAATCAGTCATCCGAGACGGTGTTTATACCCCTCATTTAGCTCCGCACTCAACAATATATAAGCAAATACAGAGTAAAATGCGAGCGAGTTTCAGTCAATCTCTGAAGAAGCCAACAAGATGATTGACGAAACGTCAGCAAGCTCGACTCAGCAAAAACCGAGGCAATAGAAATCCAAAAGTTTTGAAAAAAGTTTGAACGTAAATATTTTTCAAAAATTGAAATCAGGTTTTATTAATTAAAATGTAAAGAAATTGTTAAATTCAAATGTCAAGCATTGTTGATAATATAAAACAAAAATAACCGAAATAGGATTTAAAATTTCTAAAAAATGTTCATGTTCAAAAAATATAATAATAAAGAGAAACGCATGAGATCGAACATCTACAAAAGGCCCCCTTTAAAGCAAAAGACATGTGTATTATTAGCAATATTAGGAAAGTCAGCGAAAAAAATCGTCAGTAAAATTTTTGATATTTGAACTCTTTGAGAACATGTAACTCATATTTAACTTGGATGTTAGTAGAGACCCCATTTAGCTGCATCTGCATAATATAGTGGCCCTACTACAGTAACAATTGATGCGCCGCAAATAGCATTGATATTTTCATAGAGAAGGGAATGATTTTTCACGTATGGTTCTACATTACATATTTTGAGAAAATACTGACATAAAAAGGTCGCATTCAAACTTGTTAATCTCTCAGCGGTCATGTTGATTGTTGAATGCCATAAGGCAATTCGTTAAAAACCAGATCTTTCATCTCTCGCATGGGCATGTTGAATTCCTTCTCAAAGTTTTTTTATAGTTACTTCATAAGTAATATCGGCATAGACACTGCCTATATATCTCTAGTGCTGAGACAACCAAAAGTAGTATTATTATAATTTAGTTTTAAACGCCACCTGAGATACACACATGCACTCTGACTTTCATTAAATAATCTATAACCACCAATTACCTTCGTTCTAACAATATTATGAATAATTGCGATAGTCAAATACTGCACTAACACAAATTTATACAGACGCCTTCTCTCGGTTTTGGTTCAATTCAGACTGATTTTCGCTATTAGCATTAATTGAAGCATCGGAAAAAAGCCAACCGAAAAAATCTACTGAGAACTTTAACGATATTTTTTTAACGCATGCTTGTAAAAAGAAAAAAAAAAGTATTTTAAAAAGTCGACGATCTCACCATAAACTGTTTAGTGCCGTATATCGATTTATGGTAAAATATTTTACTCAAATTTGTAATAGTTACTGAGATAATATTAACAATATTGTACCTACATAATGTTATTAATTAGTTTTCTATTTAGATTACATTATTTTAGTGTAGCGGTAGACTTTCTGACTTCATTCATTTCATTCATTTGTTTTATTAATTATTTAGTTATTATCGATATTGCATCCATTTGCGAATCTCGCCATTCCGATACTTCCTTATTCCTTACTTTTTACAAAGGAAATTGAAAAAAAAAACAAATACAAAATAGGTAAAAGGCATATTTTTAACTTGAGGCGCCTTTTATCTTTATCTTTATCTAGACACCGAAAGGAAAAAAACGGTTAAAGTCATAATATTTTAAAATGGAACCCAATACTACTATTTTCACTAGCATAACCTCGGATTGGGTTCCAGTGGATATTTATTATTTAAAATTAATCTACCATATTCAATTAATGATTTTTGATTTCAGTTTATTATTCAGCAGGAAAATTTCCAAGTGAAATTTATAATTACTTCTCAAACTAATAAAGTAATGTTTTTTTTTAAGATTTTGGCAAAATAAAAAAAGTAAGAAAGAAAAAAATAACCTGGCAAAAATATTTCTATAAAAAGTTCATTCATTTCCTCGAAGACCGAACTATAGAAAAATTGCACATTTAGTAAGACATCCCAATAACTAGGAAACAAAAAAAAAAAGATATTCAGAAGATGGTATGCAATTTTTCAGTTGTTTTTCGGTTGTTTATAAATCAAACTTGCTGACGTTTCGCTGTTGGCTTTCAAAACGTCTAAACAACCGAAGAAGGAGGGATAAAGAAGATTTAAAAATAAGATTGAATTTAAAATAAGGCCTTTGTCTAGTGTGCCATGTTTTCATAATACTCGCCCTGTATATACTTAATACATAATGAATCAGTAATTGACTTGCCTGTCTCTTGACACTGGACGAGCTGTCACTGAGGCTGCCTGAGGCCGCGACCTTACGGGCCCGGTTTTTCAAACGACCTTTGATTAAAGAAGCTGCCGGAAGCCCTTCCGACGCTACCAGTTCTTCGGTATCTCCTTCGTTGGTTGCTGCCAGTCCCTGAGGACGAATATATACATGCGTCAGATCTGTGCGATTTCTGCTTCCCCGTCCAACATAACTTTTCCGCTGGCGCTGAGGCAAGTAAGCTCTTGCACCCATTGCAGAAAGGTCGAAAAGTATTTGGCAAGGTATTAAAAAATATTCTTTGTTTTTGAATGTCAAACACTTAGCCAAAACTGGCCAAGTGCTAATGATTGGCTGTGATGAGGTGATTACGAAACCAGCCACGTTCGCGTATCATATTTGAGATTTCGAATTATTTCTTAAGAAGTGAGTTTGAAACATCAGACCTTTCTTAGTGCTGGAGGAAAAATTACATGCCTTGATTACTTGAAATTATCCGCCAAACTATCACTTATGAAGAAACAGACTAATGTTACAGTGCCAATAACGAATCCTGAGTCTTTTGTAGTACCTAGTAGTAGATAAAGTAATATGGTGGCTAAAACGTTTTCATTAATCATCAAAACATAAATTACATTTTATATAGTAATCTGCAAATCTTATTACGAATTTTGTCGCATTTACTTCGTGCCTAAGATCGATCAATTATATGAGGTGAACTCAATGACTCAATTATCACGGATTTTTATTTTTTTTAGGGCTACTTAACATTATAAAAAGATATTTCCATTTTAGTTAAACAGAATTTTTAAGTAATCAAGAATAAGCATAATAAACAAAGGGTTCCATCGCTCCATGTCGTGTTTTTAGTTCGGAGCTTTATAATTGCATGGGCCTTGACCATGAAGTAAATTTTTCCGCCATACATCTAGCTATTATTTAAATTGCGACCTAATCGCGGGGATATCAAAACCATCGTTTACAGAACTTTCGGTGCAAAAACGATTTATGTTAAACGGTTCGAAAACAAAGAGAACCTTGAGAGACCACCGCAAGACGATTTTATGATACCTGAACGTGGAGCCGATTCGCAAAAAATATGATAATTCCTCATTTAGAAATAATTCCCTTAACCAATTCATGGAAGTTGGCCAGGTACCCCTATCCTACATAATTTAATTGACGGACATGGCGGCGATTGTAAAGCAGAGTGAATCTAGTTTTTAGATAACGAATATTCGGAAGTACGGTCATAAATAAACCACATTCTAGACGATACCATTGCTACATACCAAATTTATTACGTGTTCTTGTAAAAACATTGTTAATCATGCAGGCTGCCAAATTATATCTCTATGAATCAAGCTGTCTTTTTGTATTTAACTTTCATATAGTTATCAAATACTAACCTGCACTTTGGGCTCTTTTCTTTTTAAACATCGATCTTTACACCCTTCATTTTATTTTCTTGAAATTTCATGCGAATTGGCAAATTTTGACAAAATGAAACCGAAAATGCCACATTTAAACTAAGAGCAATCGAACGGTTTTTTCGAAACTATCACCTTTTAGGAAATTGTAAGCTTATTAATAAAACGTTAAAATGGAATAAAATGAAACAGGTTACAAGCTTAGAGTTCTGAACTTTTCTAAGATTTGTCATGAAACTCCTCAAAAGGCAGACAACAACAAAAAATGTGAGGAGTTGTTTTAGTAGAGCCCTAAACTAAGTTCCAATATTTTTCATATTTTATTAAAATCAATCAATAGGCTTTACGGTGGTTGCGAAGTAGTTTCAGATATCGCCTGTGAACCAGTTAAGAGAATAAGTTGGCCGGGTTAAGTAGTCAGGTACGGACCAGATATAGGAAACTTTCAACAATATTCAATGGACGTAAAATAGTTACCTTCTTTATTCCTGATCCTTAATAATAACAAGAAACAGTACGAACTATCAAATTGTGAACCCGCGGAAACCTTGCGGAATACGGAAACATGCGCAGAAGTAGAGCAGCACTCAGTGTTCGAATTGTCAGGCAAATTCAGTATTTTATTGTAATAAAGCAGATCAAACTCAATCAAAATTAAAAGTGGTGTAGAAATATAGATAGAAGTAAGTATAAGTTCTTGTAATAGTGATAGCAGTAAACTAGTGGATGATAAGAAATTAAAAAAAAAAAAACAATTCATTAGCCACGGCTACAGCGTGGAATCTAAATAAAATCTAATTTAGGGCCCCCTCTGAGGCAATTGTTGCAATTGGACATAACAAGAAACGGACCTGTAATCCCTAAGTAGTTAGCGACTGAAGGGACCATCAGGGGATCGTTAAACGAAACGTAGATAGCATAGCACTGAAACAGTTTTTGAAATTGCTTCAGCATAAGTAATTCGAAAATAAGGGTCAACGACTGGCAGCCGTAACGGTCTTTCTAACAATTATTGTTTGAACCACTGTACAGGTTTATTTTTTATATACCACCTACTCACCACAGGAAAGTCGCCGAGAAAAACTTTTATTATAAAAGTTATATAATTTCTTCACTATTATGTATAAAATAAAACAAATAAGCATCGCAAAGTTGAGAAACAGTAGCAAGTTTTTTATTTTTAAATGGAACAACAATATCACCCCTAAAAATTTATTATAGCCCAAGGCTTAACTGAAGGAAATAACTATCAACGGTTCCAACATCGTCGGGCGGGTATGGTAAAAATACAGGGTTGTAGATCGGTCCCTGTGTGGTGTGACATGCCGGCCAACTAAATAATAGGTCCAACTTTTGTTGATTAAAATCTGACAGGCAATCGATATTTAGATTTAATTCAAAATAACATTAAAAATTATTTGGAAGACCTGCCAGTTCTCCAATGCATTAACCTGGTTTATTTGCATAATACCGATCCTGTTCAGTGACCGGCTAATAGCCCGGATTTAAACACTCTTGATATTTTCCTATAGGATTTTTAAAAAACCGAGTATATAATGACAAACCTCAAAATATACGAATGATGAGCCAAAAAATTTAACAAGAAATATTGATGCCAAATAGAGATCATCAAGATTATTTTGAATGCGATTCGTCATAAAATGAGAGATAATATTAGAAAATGCTTAGGAAATCATGGTGGATATCAACATTCGTTTAGTTTATAAAAAAGTCAAAATTAAATAATTCAAGCACAACTTATACAAATATCAACCATCTATAGATTTTTGAAATCAGAAGAAAAAGATCTGTCTTCATAACAGAAAATATATAGGGAGTTCCATTTAAAAATAAAAACTTGCTACTGTTTCTCAACTTTACAATGCGCATTTGTTTTCTTTTACAAGTCTAAAAAGTAATACTGCAAGAATTAGACATCTTTTGTATTAAAAGCTTTTCTCGGTGACTTCCGTTAACCGTGTAGGTGGGTATGCAAACATTAAAGAGTAAAAATTCTTCTTCGTCCATTTTTTAAAGACAGTGTCATTTAAGTTGTAGAAAAAGTATAGTCTGCAATAGGTTGATAAACTTCTTCAAATGGCGTTTATCAAACTTGTATAATATAGTATAATATCTAGCAGAATATATATAAAAGGAATCCAGCTTTATTTAAGCAACATTGTTTAATATATTATATGAAAATAAGAAAAGTTTATAGAAATACTTGACAATACTATCAATTAATTCAGTAGTGTTCCACTAGTACTAAGAAGCCAATATAATTTGGAACGCTTTAAGCCTATAGGTACCTATAGATTTTAGTTGCCATATTACGTACAGCTAGCTAGAAACCCGCTTTTGTAACTGTTAAATATGTTAATGTTTTTGTTTAGAATAAAAATAGGCTTCTATCTGCATTTGGAATTGAACCGATTCAATTTTATGACTACCGGATTTATGGATTTCAAAACTGGTATAATTAATCTACGGTCTAAGCAAGTTCCGAATGAAATATATTATTATGTTATTTCTCCCATAATAAAACAAAAATATAATAACACATTATATACTTTATAGAAGTTGTTAAAAGTCCGCCAGAATAAATCAAAATCGTCACTAAAATTCCGTAACTAAAATGTTTCAGAGTTATAAGAGAGCGCACCGAAAGAGAATCTAAAATTAAAATCTTTTTACCTGCCGAAGAATGGTGCTTTTTTAGCCCTCATTAATTTAATGTAGAAATGTTCCATTGGAAAAATGAAATACTCACATTTATCATGATTTTAGGACAAGGGCCGGGGTACAATTATTTAGCAGATTTCATATCCCCGAAGGTAGCGGGGGTGTGCAGGGTGAAGGGTGGGAAAAGGTATTGTAAGCAGATTTAACATGTGAAAGGCAAGGTGGTTGAAATAACTTGGCCACACCCACTCTAAACTCGGACCCGATAGTTTGTAGTGTTTAAGTTTAGTTGAGCTGGTTCGTTCGCAGAATAACATCAGTTATGGGATGGATGTTTTTGCAACTACTTTATTTCAATTTCTTTTACGATGCACTTAATTTAAATTTTATGATTTTATCGAACTTAAAAAGCCAGATATAAATCTAGTAGTAAAATCAGTAAAATTGTATTTAAGTAATTTTATTTTTTCAATAACAATGAAATGAAAAAACACAAGGTCATCCTAAGTTTATATATATCAAAAGGGCATTAGTATTAAAATTTTCTAATTTTTATTAATTTGATAAAACTATTTCCAGCATATTTACATGGTTAAAAAATATTGTAACCCAATAATTCAAAATACTTCAAAAAAACTGGCTAAAATACTCAATCACAGGCACGTCATTTAAGGTGATAATGAATTTTTTCCATTTGAGGGAAAGCATTAGAAAATTATGATATTTTTGGTAGTTCTCTAATCTGAAATACTGCACAGATGAAGCGTGCGGAAAAGGTCACAAGTATAACATGTTGCATAATATACCAATAACTAAAAATTGCTGTTGTTATAGCCACTAATTATATAAATATTCTGGACCGCAGAATAATTAATCCCCTCTATTGCAACGATGGAATGTCCTCCTTTTCTAAATCGTTTATCATCCTCAGCACCCACACCATTGTCATATTTTTCTACTTTTATTATTCTGGAAAAGCAACTGGTTCAGTGTTCACGTGACTTCTAGTAGGAGTTTTAGTTAAAGATATTTAATAGGATTCATAGTTTTAGTACTGTTTTAGTGAATTGCTAGAAATTACCTCAGACATATTTAAAAATCGCCGAGTATTTTAAATAATTTTGGTGTCAATATATCTCAATTAAATGCCGCAAATTTTTAGTCTCGCTATACAAATAAAGAGATTGTACGTGTACCCACGCATAAAACGAAGCTGCATAATAAATACTGCTCGGTATGTATGAGCGATTCAATCAGGCCGACCTTTTTTGGGACTTTTGACTTTTCTACCTGATCATAGGTATAAATTTTGTGATCTGGTACATATCTCGCTCAGCCGAAAAAAAGGGAGTGTACCGTATGCAGGTAAGTACTCAAAGCGTTGGTACCAAATATTATCTTTAATGAAATATCGGAATAGTTCTGCAAATTCAGTTTAGTTAACGTATTCAGAAATGTTCGGTATTTTAAGTAATACAAAAACTTTTTATAGACTTGAAAAAATACCAAATTTCAGTGGAACAAATTTGTGTGAAATAGAATGCAAAATAGATTAAATTTTCGTATACATTTTCACTGTTTTGGCAGAATATAGTATTCGATCTGTTTGTTTTAGAAACTGTGTAATCACATATATTTTTTAAATTGATGTTTCAATAGGAGTCGATGATTAATTTGAAACAACAGTCCTCCACAACATAGCTGCTATAATTATGCGAGCAATCAAAAACTGCGATAACAACCATAACAAAACAGTAACAGCAACAGTAACTTTTCACTTAGTTCTTGATGATTGCAACTGATACATATTTTATAGTTTCTCCACAGGGAGAATAATCAATATTGGCTCAAAATGATGACGGATAAACAATTTGTAAAAATATTCAACTGTTTACATTAACGTTCTTTCAAGAAACCAAGTCACTTTAGTCATGATTATGCTTAGATAAAAGCTAAATGAGTGTTTAATAAACGAGTGTTTGAAGTATTTATCAACATTTCTCTTACTGTACATTTTCTACGACTACTAACGTTCCGGTACATTTTCGCAAGACAGCACGAATACAATCATTAAAGGAAGGAAAGTTTAATTTTTTAATGGATGTATTTTAGAGTGAGGATCAGAAAATTGCCGTTTTCTACTCCCGTCTGTAAAATATCTAGCGATCTAGCGTGCGGGAAGCGTCACTTTACCGCGTGAGGTTGTTATCCCACGGATCCGAGCCACTTCGGATATTTCCGAGATTTTACCGCACGGGTTCGGAAGCAATCGGATGTTTTCGGAAATATTTCCCACGCTTTAAATTTTGACGTTTGTCAATTCTGACGGTCATGTCAGTGACCTCGTTTCAACTATACTCGTGAGTCAAATGCCGTTTACCGCACATACGATACTATTTTCTTTTGGTTGTAAACATTCTTTTAACATCATTTCACACTTTTGTTGGTTTCCAACTTATGCCATTTAATTATTTAAAAATTTATAGATAGAAGCTCCCATTCATTCTTTTCGCAGTCACAACCACATCAGAATATATAAGATGATGTTCTTAAAGCGCGTTTCGCTAGCCAAGTATCATCAGTAAACGATATGTCACGAACATTATGAACGTCGTGTAAGTTGTGGTGTAGTTATGGTTTATGGTTGTAATCTACTATTTTTTCTTATCTTCTACCTTTCTTCAATTTAATCAACCATAAAATACAAGTATTTCTCTGAATGTTTGCATGTTTTTTTTTTTAATTTTTCGTCCACTTACCACCTCCACATGTAAAATAATTAATGAAGCTGGAACATTCCTCAACAGGTTCGATAGTACTCACCTTTGAATAGGTCGTGGATATAAAGTAATTCTAGATATATAATCACATTTAGTACAAGAAACAGAGCGTAAGTGACCAAAGCAAATGTCAAAAAACGGCATTTCTACTCCATACTCTAAAATTTAAAAGTCAGCTTCATTCAACACTGTCCTAAGTTAGTTGGAGTGTTTCCTGTACTTTAGTTACGGGTTGCAAGCGATCAGCTGTTTTGTTATTTCTGATAGTTATGCATTCATCACATCATGAATGTGAGTGGCTGATCACGTGGAGACTTATCAACCTGAGTTATTAAGCGGAGAAATATTCTAAATAGTTATACTTTTTGATAGCGCACTCTGTATGTCGCCGAAGTAAAATTGAACAAAAAAAAGCGCCAAAGAACATAAGTAGGTACATAAAACGCCGTTCGCCTACCACCCGTCCCGAAAGAAGTGATTAATCCCATGAAACGTTACCTGCATTACAGACAAAAGCGACGGAGATGAAAAATCAACCTTCATCAAAGGCAATCACGACAATGTCGAGAAATTCGTACTTTGCGAGGTCGGTTGGACCTGCATTGCGCCACCTCGAAAAAGCCCACCCTTTAAATTGTGTTAATGCAGAGACCCGCGTGGGTTTCTACCTTTAATAAATAGGACCGTCCTTTATTTGCTGCCGCGTTTTATCTATCTATCGGGTGTCGACGTTATTTCTTTTGACGTATTTTTTGGGGCTTAATTGGTGTAAAGTGACTCTAAATTAAATTGCTTGGTCACACAGTCGTTCTAAAATATTTTGAGAACGCAATGTTGTCGCTTCTACATTAACGCGGTATCATCGTGCTTGCTTTTAAGAGTCCCCTATATATCATTACAGTTTTAGATCCTGGACAAATTGCGAAACGACAGTTTTCGTTATTTTTAAGCCATTTGCTCCTTTGAAATCTATTCCATCTTAATTTAACCAAAAACAAACATATGCAGTTGGTTCGCATAAAAGTATAAGGATTTAAATAGTATTACTTTAAATGGCGTTTTCTTAAATTTTAAAATTAAATAAAGGAAACTGATAATATTGCTTTCAACTTTTCTTTGTCTATTATTTTCGAAACAAAAAAATGGATGAGTATTATTCAGTGAAAATAGTACAGTAACAATGTTATTAATTGAATCGCTTCTATTATTGCCAATAAATAAGTAAATTAATTTCTTGTTTAAACTGAAGCAAAATATCCTGTACAAAAACTAAGTGAAGTAGGAAAATAAAAAGTTAATTTTCTGAGTTTTACGTGTAAGTAAATTGACATTTTGTGACCTTAAAATCTTTTTTTTTTAATTAATTTTGCATTTTTTAATGACTACAATAATTTAATCATAATTTAATTTACTATCTTTTTTACCTTTCCATAACAATTTAAGTAAATAATTAACATTTCGCAATTTTTATTTCTATTATGCACTTCTGTTAACCAGTTATTTTTTTTAATTCGGTTGGTTGGTTCGATATAAACTTTATAATTATTCTTAAATTGAAAATACGAATAGATGAATAGTTAAAATTTTTATTATTTAATGTAAGTAATCCACCTTGATTTTAATTAATTTTGTAGCTAACTTCTCCCAAAAAATATATTAGTAGACATGCTATATGTGTTCGATAACAGCATTTAAAAAAAAAAAAAAATATCCAACTGAGAAACTGCACACAAAATTTAGCAATATCCTTCGATGCGCTACAGTCGGTTAGTTTATCTAAATAGTTCAAACATTCAAGAGAAATTAGCTATGTTGCGAAATATTTTTTTCTTGCCACAAAAAGTAGGAAAGTTGGAAACACATTGAGAATATCGGTTTAATCAATTTTTAAACGAATTACGCTAAATGCAGGATAAAATTATGACACTTGAAAATCTTATTGAACAAAAAAGAACTTATGAACTTAGTTAAAGTTTTTTCGGAAAATCTAAAAAACGGCGAATAAAGCACCACTGTAAGGAAAAAGCTAAACAAGAACAAATTTCTACCATTAGTATGTCAAAATAATTAATAAATAATAATAATAAAATAAATTAGGTATTTGAAAACTTGTTTTGCGCCACTTCTCACTGCTAGAAAGGGTAGAACAGTAAAGCAAAACTCTGTCGTTGTAGCAAATACATCACAAGGGTTTAACTGTTTATTTATTTTAGCACAGTTTCCAGTAAACTTTTAAAACAGTGCCGATGACGGTCACCATTTCAATTTGAAGCCCTTCATAGCTGTCATATAGACCCCTTTCGTCCCTTCGAGCCACTTGGACCATCCAGAAGAATTGGTAACACTTAAACCTACCTGAACACCTATATAAGGCGTGAGTGTCTCCTGCTCAACGGCAACGGTATGGGGTGGCCGCGATGTCATGGTCCCTTTAGACCATGGCGCCCCATAATGGTTTCAAGATCATTGTCTAGCAAATAATAAACGTTACACGGAACAAAACGAAAATCTTGGAGCAACGACCATCGGCACTAAAGTGTTTGCGCGGATTCATCTCGGCAATTGTTATTAACGAGCACACCAAATCCATATAAACATTCAATCTAACCGAAATCGGTAGTCTACGAATCTTCAACGACTTTAACCGCGTGCTATACTCGCGACAACAATTTATTTTGTCGATTGTATTTACATATTAGTAAGAAAACACGGCACCCGTATGAACAAATGTCAATCACGAGCACCACCTGGAGCATCGGGCAGTCTCGCGAAATTTCGCGGGTCGTCGCGACGCTCGACGTCACAGGCGTCTCATATATCGATTTTGGGAAACAACCCAGAGAGCCGCTCGGTTATCTAACGTAAGGGAAAAAAGAGACGATGGAATTGGTTCGAGGTGGGTGCAAAAGAGAGCGAGATCGATCTCCGAATGACCTTATTAAGAATATGTTTTTTCTTCAAAATAGAGAGGAGCCTACTTTTGCAAAATGGGAAAGTATAGCACCCTATCGGCGCCACATAAAGCACCATAGTTCGACTATTAAATGAGTTTTCTTTATTCGTTGAGTTATTGTTGGCCTTTCTGCGTACGTCTGTCGGTAGGTAGTTTTTCCGTTAGGAAAATTTTGGAATCGCGGTATTTCAACGAAAGATTTCTCATCTCCCGTGGGAATAACATTAATAATAGCAATTCAATAATAGCGACTTATTTAAATGTGAAAAATGGTCCCTCATACAGGATTCTCGACTTTCGTTTGTCAAAAGATATATTAGATTTAGAAAAAAACTTCTTTTTTTTTTAAAGGAACTTATATATTATGTATCCGCCAAGCTACTTCATGCTTAGTATTCCATGGATTGGGATCAATTTTATAAAACTAAATAGAACACCCTGTATTTTATGTTTATGATTTTCTGTAAAACATCCTATTCTAATTTCACTTGTTGCTATATTAACGACACTATTACATCCACCCAGATTACCATGATATCAGAAGACCATCGCAGTAGCATCCTCAAAGCTGCCACCACCACAGGTGACTATGAAGTGTGCAACTTGCTTATATCTTTTTTTTTTTAAACGAAAAGAGAAACTTTTTGCAACAAGATCAGTACACGTTTTAAGTGACTTGCTCGGCTCTTGCCAAATAAACTCGTCACTCAAATGCCTTTGAATCAAACTGACTACGCAATGTTAAATAAAGCAATAATAAGAAACGCCTTAAAAAGTTACAACGGCCGCTATTTTTTTTTATATAATTAATTTCTTCCCTCATTACGCATTTTTTAAGATTTAATTTTTTTATATGCAAACGCTAACTATTATGAAAAAAAATCAGCAGACAAAAGTTTTTAAGTAAGGCATAAAACTTTAAAAAACATTTTTTTAATGTTATTGCATAAGTTTGTCTTTAAATTTAGTTAAGAAGAATGATAATTCAATCCCCTCCACTTATAAAAAAAAACATGAAGAAATTGTGTTTTTATAGTTACGTTATATTTTATTTTTTTATCTATTTTCTAATAAATAAATAAGGTATAAAAACTGTAATATTTAAACAAAAATGTTGGTTGCCACAGCAATGGATTTGTTGACCTAAAGAAGAACTGATATATTAAATGCCGTCATTTTTAGGAAAAACTTTAATTTATGTGCGACAAAAGTCCGTTAAACCATTTTTGAATTAATAAAAGCAATTCTGGGATCTTTTAAATTAATTAAGTAATATCTACAATACCGTTTAATATAAATTGAAACACACCTTCAAAACATTTAAAAATGTTTATATTTTCCGAAAAGAGATGTAGACTAGTTTCTTGTAGAGGTCACCAAAATTTATAGCTCCCATCCCCGATTGGAGATAGAAGTACAGACCCTGTAAGACACCATGTTTTATGTTCACGTACTTAAAACATTCACTATTTCTGTCAGGATATGACTTTTTTAACAAAGTGATTTAAGTGATAGTAAGTTTCTTACATTCATTAATAGAAACAACCGACTTTTAAGAAATTTCTGAAAAATTGTTAGCACTAGTAGTTATGCTATATAAAATTTTATTTTATCTTATCAATATTTATTAAAAATATTTCCAAAACGTTCTATTTTGCCCTTTTCTAGAATAAATCTATTTTTTAATAGAACTACAAAGTGGTGGAAATGAGCCACTACTTATTAACTTATAAAAATAAACTTGAATTTCTAGTGCCAGTTTTAAATATTATTTTTTCTCCTTCCTACATGACATAAGTGTAATAAAGAAATAGGTTTCAAAGGATCTCACGCATTAGGTCTAATTGAGCCATAAATAACTTGTTATAATCCTGATTAAGCTTATTTCCGATAAATATTTCCTAGTTGTTTGGCCTTTCGACTGGAGAAAACTCACAACCACCAATACTATTAAGGGGAAATGACCATCAAGGAAACCTGTTAACGGCATTAGGAATCTTATATCGATTACGGTGAGGTCAAATACTTTTTTATAAGGGATAACAAATTGCTATAAATTGTGCGGAGTTCACAAAATTATAAAGTTTCAAACTAATGAGCCACCAATATACTTTTTCTTATTTTAATTAGCGAGGAATATGATATTTTTGGAAGGTTTTAGCCACTGACCCACAAGCGTGACTCAATAGCTGAAATGTACTCAAAAACTAATAGTCGTTTATAAAACTAGTTGCATAATGTACTATTAGGATAGCCCCAAAAATGCTGTCCTGGGGAGATTTAATAGGTTACCAATTGCGAATGCTTCCTACTTGAATATCCTAAAAAACCTGGTCGAAACTTGTTACTACAGCCATTTTTTTGGTTTAAGCATATTTTCGTGTCTAATATTTGAAAGCTTGTACTATTCCTATCAGTGGTGTTTTGTTTTGTGTTATGACATTCAATAATGATTTTTTATATTTACGATTATTATCCTGTATGTATTAGAGGGCTAAAGGCATTTTTATTGATTGATTGATTGACTGATTGACCTGACAAAATGATTAACCAATTGTCGAATGATGCGACATCTTATCGCATGTTTATTTGACAAGCTTTTAGTTAGATTATTTTACCTAAATTTATGGGAAATGGTAAGACCGGGTTGGTTGTAGCTTCTCGCTTAAAAACTAACCAGAACTAACACTATTCTTAAAAAGAAAACAGTGATGTCCAACATATATATCGCATTCTAAACTAACATTACTTATTTTTGTTAAACTACAAACTTAGGTACAATGTTAAGATGATGATAACCACCATTCTGTGTAAGAAATATGTACAAAATAAACTAGAAAGAGGTCTAAATGTAGTGGCATATTCGGACTATATAATGTGGTTGTGTAAAACCACTTCTATCAATACTAATTCTCCATTCATATTATGGACCATTTTTAAACTTTTTATCAATGCTTTATCATATCATTGAGTTCTTCCTTTGCATGAACAAATTAATTGCTTTGCTTCTTTTCATAGTTCTGCAGGGGGAGACGTTCAATTCGGCTCGTAGATTGAAGTATCTGAGCGTGACGCTTTTCTCCAAACCTTCCTGGACGGACCAAGTTTTGTGCTATTTGCGCAGTGGCTGTACTGCTAGTTGACTGTCGAGAAGCATTATAGTCTGGACGAAAGAAACTTTTCATTTTTTAGTGGCGTTATATCTTCATAATTCGTTAATAACAAAACAAGTCAAAAGAGGGTCGCAAAAATTTCGATTCTGGTCGGACAGGAGACTGGCATCTAACGTCATCTAAACTCCAGACACCTAACATTCATTGAGTCAGTATCCAAACTCGCCATGAAGTGAGAGGGAAGAAATGCGAGGATAATAAATCCGAAGGTCTAAATGCCGCACTCTAGTCGCCAAGGACACACACCGCAGTTAGCATTACAGACTGCCAATTTCTTGTCATCCTGTAATTTTCTTTGGGTCCAACGAACGAAAAATGTTTGAACTAGTCATTGCGTGTTTATGAAAAGTGTCGTAACATAAATGCGACATTTTATGGAAAAACAGGCTACAGTATATGTGTAACGTAAGATAAAACTTTGTTGTTGGGGAAAAAGTTTTCGAGTCGTATAGTTCGGAAGGATTCATTGCCTTATTTTTGTATAGAAGGGCAACCGTAAATTTAAAGTTCCTTTTTTGCTTCATATAATTCGGGCATAAATCAACGCGAATTTTGTTTTTCCAATTTCATTACCAATTCAAATCGACTGTGCGTTTACTATAACTCATGCCGTTTTCTTGACATTCGGAGCGAGCATTTCCTCTTGCTTAATGTTTTTTATCGATCGCTTTAATAGTAGTTCAAATATCGCATAATACGGAATGGAAAGCCGTGGAATGGCGTGTTTTTTGCGGTAGAAAATAAACGTCTACTCCTGCATTTTATTCTCGGTTTCAAATCGCATGCTTAAAATAATTTTATTGATACAATGCGTATGTAAAGTATCATTGAAGTTGAAATTTGGGCGTATGATCTTTTTTTTTTAATTTTTGCCGACTTCGTCGTTATCGGTAGCGTTACTGTGCTTTTTTTTTAATTTCATTTGTTTATGACTATTTTAAATTTAAAATCATATTTTAAAAAATAATTGAATTCTGTTTTTATTTCAGATTTCATAGTACTTCATGCTATACGGCATTGTAACTTTTTTAAAATACCAAATGCAAAGCAAAAAAAGTTTAAAATAAAATGATAAGAAGGAAGCTCTTTAAAATTGAAATATGACATATGGTTTATTATGGGTCACCCTTACTGGAAATACTGGAGAAAATACATAACTTAAATACTTTCAGCTTATTAAAATTAGATTATATTTTAACAACATTCAAATTAATTTAAAAACCTTAAGATTTAGCCATCATAAACCTTATTGAAGCTAATTTTGACCAAAGAATTTTCCTCTCGAGGTCTCGACAGCAGAGATTGATTGATTTGTGTAAATACTACAATATTTTTTAAATAATAAATTAACAAAGATTAATTTACAAGTGTTTAAAATTTCTCAAAAATACATTTAATAGAGTTTTTCATTTGTTCTTATTTTATGCTTCCATATAAGAATAAATTTTGTGTCAAAGTCTACCACAGATTAACCCAAATCCTCGACATTTAACAAACTTCTATTAATAGATGCACTAAATTCCTAAAAATGATTTGGTTAGGAAAATGCGTTTTATGATAGGTTTTTACCTAAACATTTGTTTTATTGCTGGGAAAATTGAAATAAT